TCATTCTTGGTTCCTCATGAGAATATCACCTGGAAACTCTCCTAAAAAATACTGATGTTATTCTCTACTTTCAGAGGTTCTCATTCAATTGGCCCAGGGTGAGGCCAGGACATAGCTATTTTAAGCTTCCCAGTATTCTATGTGTAACCATGGTTGAGAACCACTGACTTAACCAAAAAAATGAAACTCCAACTGTGCAACAGGATGCAACAGGATGAGGCAGCTACAATATTTGGAGGCCTTCCCAGAACTATCAAACCCTCACCTGGGCCAGCATTCCCATGCATTTATCACCTGTTTCCTGCCCAGTTGGGTCAGAGGTGATGGGCTGGATTTATCCCACGGCTTCTCTTCCTGTTTTTCCATTTGCCAATTGGATGTTAAGTGTGGCTCCTTTAGGACCCTGGTGAGACCCCTCTTTTTAAGAACCTATTCCACCAGGCCTGGGGAAGGAGGGTCCCTAAACCCTCTCCTCAAGTAGTTAATCATAAGTGGCGCAAGCAATGGCAGGGTGCACAGATGCAAACAATGTCGGGGTGCACAGGCACAAGCAATGGCATGTTGCACAGATGCAAACAATATCAGGGTGCACAGGCACAAGCAATGGCAGGGGTGCACAGGGAAGCACGGGAAGTAGGGTTCAGGGCAGGCTTCCTGGAGGAGACAAGCCTCGTCAGAGGAGAAACATGAAGAAAGGCAAAGGGGCAAGGAACAGCATTGGAAGTTCAGGGAATGACAAGTAATTTGGAATATCTGGGAAGTGTTTGTGTGTGGAATGGAGACAGGACAGGCAAGGACCAGATCAGAGTGCCTGGATACTAACCTAGAAAGTCTGAACTTTTCCTGGCAGTACTGAGGAGGCTCTTGAAGCAGAGGAGTCAGGTGACTGGATTTTGAATTTTAGAAAGACCACTCTGGCTTTTAAGAATGAATAAGAGTCAGCAGTGTGATTGGCATTTAGGAAACACCACTCACCCAAAGAAGGAAAGAGGTAAACAACCTCATATTACTCTTCGGTGTGCTGGAGAAGGACTGAAACTGCTTTAAGACCATAACGCACATAACCGCTGAAAGTACCTTAGGTTGAAACATTTCAACACGGTCTCAACCCCGGATCTACAGCTCTTTGAACTCAACTAGACACCAACTTTGGAGGCTTACTGATTTGAAAGGGTTTCCAAAGTGACCGGAAGCTCAGTGGTAACACCAGCGCCCAGGTCTCTTATGCAGATGTGGATGCACAGTGTAGATAAACTACAGCAGGGACCTCCTAAGCAGCCCTTCCTCAGTGCCCCAGAGACAAGGAACAGGTCAAAATCACATTCCTTACCCTTGACAGAACAATCATGGGATCTCCATAATTGTCTTGAAAAATCAAGTTTCCTTAACATTCCCCAGACTCAGGTCTGTTCACCCTACATCAGACACAGCAAAATGGAAGAATAAAAGCAGAGAGTTGGGACATTTTTTTCTGAGTCTACAACTGTCATTTTTTAGTGGCAGAGGCTTTTTGGCTAAGCCCGTGGTTCCTTAACCTCACAGTCTGGCCTGTCAGGGGCTAGCTCAGGAGGGCCCTGGTGAGGAGCCTGTTTGCTGGATGCAGTGGGACCCACCTCCCTCCCCCAGTGGAAGCTGCAACCAGCTTCCTTCCACCAGATTTGGCATCTGGTGCCGGAGCATACTGTCCCTTCCTCTGAGCCTATAGGATGATACACAGCTTATGCACACAGGTGTTTATGTCTACCAGAAAAAGGAAATGAGGTAAACACCTGCCTGACCCATTCATGGGCCAGCTAAGGAGAATTCTTTATTTTCAGCCAATCAGGCAGAAATGGGACCTAGGACAGTGGTGCATTAGCCAGGGATTGATGACTGGCAGGCCCATTCCAGTTTTTAACAGAGGAAGCCTTTGCCAAATAGAACAAAATATCAGCAAGGGCAGACTAGGAGATAATCCTATCCTGTGGCCTTGTTGGGTTTTGTTTTGTTTTGGTTTTTATGTGCTACTGAGGGGCCACAATACCAGCAACACCAGCCAGCAGTCTCTTATTATCGACAGAGGACAGTACAGGAGAAAACACTTGACAGGTCTATCATCTCACACCACCCTAGAAGAAAAGCTTATCCAAAAATACCCAGCTACACAAAGGAACACGTGCCTTCCCACAAAGCACACAACCTGGCCTCACAACTGACCTTTCATTTCAAAGCCTCATTCAGAGGGATTAACTCACGTTTACAAAATTCCTTTCAAAATCATAAAGCAATGTCAATATTTTTTTTAATGTCTCCCCCCCAGACCCCAAGGTCATCATTCTGGCTGTGGTTATCCTCCAGCCAATTTATCTTCCTGCTGTTGCCATAGATAGAACTATTTTTAGTGCACAACTGGTTTGAAGGCAGACTTTTTTTTTTTTAATTTCACAACTCCTGCTGGTTGGCATCCATAAGTGCCTCTCCGAGCTTTGTTTATCAGCCGACAGAAATTACTCTCCCCACCTGTTTTTATTTTCCTTGAAAGATAATTTCAGATAAGAAGGAAGTACAAATTGCAGGTGGCAGCCACTGAACAAAGGGTAACTGGTGACGGTCTGGTTGGCCACACCACCCTTAGTGGCTGACGCAGAGAATTCCCTGCTCAGTGTCAGCTGTCACCACCACCATTTCTGGTTGGCTTGAATGTCTGGTTTCTCCTGCAGCCTCTTCGGATAAGACAAAAGTACAATTTTAATGACTAACATGTTATCATTCAGGACCATCACTTGTCCACTATCAGAGAGGAATGAGAGAACAGTACAGTCTTTATTGAGAAATTTCAACGTCAGGAACATCTTTAATGATTACTTGTTTGGTCTGCAATTTTATTTTCTAGACATCCTGTTCCTGTTTTTCTAAAAAGTTAGTGCTCTGTCCCAAAGCAGGTCCAATACGCCATTATCATACAGTACATGTCAAGTATCCATTTAAATGAATGATATTTCCTTTCAGTATCCCACTAATGTCAACAGCCCTACAAGTTCCTACTCACCCTGCAAGACTTAACTCCAACATCATCTATAGTGAAAGGCTTTCCTCAGATGGCTTGGGAAGAACCTTTCCTTTTAGCATTCACAGAACCTTGTAAAGCCTCTACCCCACTATCATAATTACCACTTTGTATGACAGTAGTTTGTGACAATGTCCGCCTCCACATTGGAGTGCACTACAATGCCCCAGCCTGCACCGCACAGAAGGAGATCTATAAATGTTTAATGAATCTATTAATCAATCAACGAGTCACAGCTTCCCACCACCGGAGTCCCTCCCTGCCCAAACCCCCAACACACACACACACACACACACAGAGTACCTATGACATTTGCAAATCATGAGCAGAGTTAGAAATCATAAAAAGAACCCTACGACCTTTGGGTATCTTTTTTCCAGAACAAGAACCAGGGTGCCCAGGACAGCCCTGCATGGTCTGATTCAGAGCCCTGATCCTCCAGTCCAAAGTATTTCTGCCATCTTATTCAAAAGGCAAAGTTTCTCAACAGTGTGTCACAATGTGCCAGACACCAAAGCACTTATAACTAAAGAAATACTCTAAATATTTGAGAAAAAAATCTTCAGAAATGTTATCTGGCATACTACTTTAGAAATGTTATCTGGTATACTACTCATTTGTATCCATCCATAATATCACACTGGCCACCCCAATCACCTCTACAGGAGAACTTAGAGAAATTCATGCAATTCATGCAGTATCACACATGTGACCCTGTCCAGGCTTAGAGCTAGCTGAGACTTCATCCCTTCTCAAACACAGTTGTGTTCTAACCAAGAAAGTTTTACACATTCAAAAGGCAAACACCCACTTGGACCTAATGTGGATCTTGCTCTATGAGGCTAATGATTGGACAACTAGAGTTCTCTCATCCTTAAGTGCCTGGTGTGTGCACACACACCCACATAAACACACATCCCAGAGCCCATCACTTGGCCCACACCAATAGTAACACAATGCCTCTGTTCTAAAGCTAAAGACAGCTTAGGTGACCACTATCACTTGTTTGATGGTAAAGCAAATAAGCATGTCTACAAGACTAGCGGACAGGAGTACCAAAGAGGGTTTTGGTTTGGACTTAACCACCTGTTTAGCTAAACCTTGGGGAAATGTGATAACAGAAGTCTCATGATAAGCACTGAATATCATGATAAATGGAAGAACTGAAAAGCCACAAACCAAGCCCCTGGCAGTGTGCTCTCAGGTGCTGATCTTAGAAGAAACATGGAACGTGAAGGATGCAAACTGCATATACCTAGCGCTTCTTTCACAGAGCACCCGGAGAGGTGGGGAAAGATGCAACAAAGATTGAAGAGAAAGAGTGCTTCCAAAGGGCAACCCTCCCTGGAAATGGTGCCCAGGACTTTCAGGGCTACCTCTGCTACCACTGTGCTAATATTTAAATGAGAAGGAAGAAAATGGTTCGCATAAACTGAAGTCCCACACAACTGGGCTCCAGGGTAGCCAGCTGTGGACCTCTAGTTTGCAAAGTGGTGCCCACCTTGGCTAAGCCTGCTGCAGAATCAGTGTTATTCTATCACCAGAGGACACAGTGACCCCTTCTTTCTTTTATTCAATGGAAAGAGAAAAGTTTGGGTTTAAAATACATTCATTACTTTTGGTCTCAAGGTAGGGACACTGCAAATATGTCTCGCTTGCTTTTTAAACTGCTGCCACCAATAAATTTGGCTTGACAGAGAAAGCGGGAAGGACAGGAAATCTCTGGGAATTCCATAAAGTCCCCTAAGCCCGCTCCTACCAGACGGTGGGGCGCCCCAGGGGCGTCAAGAGGAAGGGTCACGGCCCAAGCTAGGCCAGGTCCGGAAAGTTGAGCCCAGGGTGGAGCGTCGTGGCCAGGACCGGCTCCTCCGCGTCCCCATTCCCAGACCCCAACAGAAGGGGCGGCCGGGATGAGGGCAGGGGACGGCGGTGGCTCCTGCCCCCAGCTACTCACCCTCCTGCTGGACGCCC